ATATACCCATACTTTTCATTACTTAACAGTCATATGGTATGCTACTGGATATACCCATACTTTTCATTACTTAACAGTCATATGGTATGCTACTGGATATACCCATACTTCTTTATTCTCACATCAAATAACTTTTAAACAGTAGTTACAGTGGTTCAAGGAGCAATTTTATTTTTGCATTTGAATATTTTATTTGAAAGTAAAGTTTTTATGATTTCAGATTTAATCCATAGGGCATGTAAGTCTGCTAGTTAAAATAAAATAAAAAGTTCAAACAAATGAGAGGTTATTCAACTTCTGTCTTCAGAAGAAAAGAATATTATTAATTTCTCATTAACAATCTCTGAACAAAAGACTTTTCTCACCTGCTGTGAAAATGTAGTTAAAAACTTAAAGGAGATTGACAACATAATAAATGGTCACGTTCAAAGTTTCTCTTTTAAAACTAAATCTATTATTTAATTATTATGAACAGCAAGTAGAGGACAGAAAAGTTAAAGAGCAATGTTGCAGTTGAAGACCTGGAGCAAAATGTGTTAATTAGTCTGACTCTATGATCGTTTTCACTAATCAACTTAACTCGCAATGTGTGTGTGTGAGGTATTGTAAGATATATATATAATAAAGGCATTCACTGTATAAACAGAATATATAATAAAGGCATTCACTGTATAAACAGAATATATAAAATGCCATATAAACATACTTCTAGCCTTAATAAACATTTACCCATTTCTTAATTTTCAGAAACCGAAAAGAAAAAAAAAAAATATTGAGTTCTCATAATCATTTTTTCTTATAACTCTAAGCAACAAATGGAACGATTAAAAACCAAAAAAATAAACTCCAGACTAGTCTCTTCATCGATTACATTACACTTCATAATTGTAGACAAATCATAAACTGTTCTCATAAACAATCCTCACACGGAGGAAAGGAAGCTTTTTCAAAGACTTACTCCTTGCTGCTAATCCACATTTCTGTTTTGTTTTTTTGCCAACAATTGAATTATGTCTCTACCCTCCCCCCCTAATAAAATTTCTCCTCAAAAAACAAGATGTCATTTATGCACTACAATGATTACAACTTGTCAAAGTGATGTCCATGACAAATGACATTTCTATTTTCTGTATAAAAAAAAATGTACTTAATTACATCAAAACAAATAATTTTATTGAGGTAAATACAAATTTTTGCATTTTGAAAAACATTACATATAAAATGTTTGCTTTGTTGGCAAAAGTTGCATCTCAACACTGTCTGATGAGAAAGATAACTTTACAATAATAAGTCTACAACTAACTAAACCCACCCACTAACGTAACTTTGATGAAGTCCGTGGGTCCACGGCTGTGAATAATCACACCATTTTCAGCAGTAGTCTTAAACTGGAAGTAAATGTCCCCTGCATGGCCCATGTCAAAGGGTGGCAATTCTATCGTAGCATCATCATATCGGAAAGTGACCACATTATCAAAGAGTGCTGAAACAGAAAGTTGAAGACATTCCTTGAAGATATTTACACAGAAAAATTTCAATTGTATACAAGCATTTGACATTATTATCATACAAAATAAAATAACTGATTCATATGAACAATATCTTGTAAATAAAAGGCAACTGTTTTTCTGAAAATACTAAATTTTGAAAACAAAAAACATTCACCCATATTTTTCAGAAATGATAATCTATCTTATTTGGTTCATCTAGAAACATTTCTAAGTCCATTCTGAGTAAAAAAGCTAACAATACCATAAAAAGATATATACTTTAAAATAATATTCTAAGCACTAAATCATAATAGAGACAAGTTAGATGTATACATCACAAAGTTTAACAACAAGTCTCAAATTTCATTTGCATAATTTCTAAAATCTCCTAAATAAATATCAAATGTTTTTTTTTAGAAAAACTTTATACTTTATCTGTTATTTTCTCTACCATAACTCTATACAAGGTTGGTGAATCTAAACAACTTCGTAACCACCAAAATAAATCTAAGTTACCCTTTTTTATTTCTAGAACGACTTCAAATTGTAACATGAAACTACATCTGTGTATTCTAAGGAGCTATAAACTCGTAACAGTATACAGCTGTTTATACTTAAATTTTATTGTTCCATTGCTCTTTGAACCATGACTAAGTGATATTCCTGCTATAAAATTTGTAAATCACTTTGTGAACTAGAAGCTCACATTACCCTAACAAATTACATAATGCACAGATTACTCGCGAGTTGTTTGACAGTGTACTGTATGAAAACCTTTTTTTTTTAAATTATTATTCTTTATTTCTAATTTTAGTTATTTTTATAATAATAACTACAGAATACACAGGAAAAAGAAGAAATAAGATACTAACATGGGTCTTTTTTTTTTTGCTGTTGACTGTCAATGACACTTAACCCTACTTTTTTTTTTTATACTAATGATACTAATGCACTATATAATTTTTCATTTAATTAAATAATGCTCCAGAAAACACATAATAATAACATTCAAAAAGCAGACAATGTCCTATAATCACCACAATTTATATGGCTTTCTAACTCTGTGACAAGAGCCATAAAAATTTCAGCTAAGCTTGTCATGGGAATAAAGTTTGAACTGGAAGCAAAATAGACAATTCTCTGTAGGGAAAATTATGTAATATAATACATCATTTGATAAATTAAAACTTTTGCTTTCTATTGGTTATAAATAATATAGTATTAAACATCAGAGAGAACTATTGGGAATTTTTGAAGGAGAGAACGTGATGGATGGGTGTGGCAAGAAGGGTCTGATTTTCTATTTTGTGGCTCTGTAACCAAATAAGATTGAAGACTCTAAAAATTATGCACTGCCTGAGCAATTAAAACATTATAATGACTAATTTACATTAAATTTCATATTTTTTGGAGGAGTGGTAAATAAATAAGAGAAGAGGGGATGCCTAGAGAGCAAATATCACAATTTTCCTACTAGGGGAAATTCAGGATTTTTTACAAATATTGTCTTGTAGAATAAGAACTTAAAACTTATACAGTGTTAAAACTTGGGTTATTAGCTACATTTTTATACCAAGTTTATTCATATACCTAAACAAGAAAGTAGTATAATTACATTTTGAAAGTAACTCAGAAAAACCTCTTGACATGCACAGAAAAGAATGCCCTTAGTGAGAGAGTTAAACAACAAACAAGCAATAAATTAGAGAACAACGAAATCTTACAAATTGAAAATAGCAGTAACAGAAGACCTTCATAAAATGTATTTCACTTAAAAACCAAACACTTATCAATGAAGTTTGTAAATACTAAAAAAAATAAAAAAATAATTAGAAAATGAAAATGATTTGTATATTTTATCTCAGAATATTCAATACAACTTACAGTCTCCTTCACATCTGAGAGAACCTAAGAAATAACGGCCTTTTTTTTATCTAAAGTAGTGCCTGTATCCCCGAACTTTAATTGTCGCACTGGAAGATATTCTTTTTGTGTGATGTCTCCTTCATCAGTTTGCCATCCTTGAGATATGGAATCACAGTTACACCACTTCTTGGGATTTCTACAGATTCCAAACAGACCACAGGCACACTTCTTTGATCCTGGCAAAGAGCCTCCCCAGTAATCCATTTTCTGGTTGTTACGACTCACCCACCAAGAAAAGGGTTCAAATGGACCAACTTCTGCAACTAGATATAATAAAAACAGCTTACATGTAAATAAATATATGTCTCTAGACTAAATTATACACATTGCAATTAACATTGTTTATGAAAAAAAAACATTTGTACATATGTACCACTGCAACTCCTTTCTAAAACATGTCATGGTCCACTACTCATTTACAATCAATTCCGTCTGAAAAATAATGTTATCATGAATTGATATGTTTCAATTATTATGTATATTTTTTGCTTGTCCACTGTAGCATTAAAAAATGATGGTAATTTTCCAAATCTTTAATAAAGATTCTCAACAGCATTTTATAAACTGCTTCTGAATGTTTTACTATAACACTCTCTCTTCACTGTGTTTTAAAATGAAAGGATATAAGAAAGTATAAACAGTAATAAAACATAACAGTTGAACATAGGTGGATGAAAATAAATCTCATTTTTGTAGTTTGGCTGTCAATTGGAGTAAAACATGACAATAATGCTACGTTTTTACATAAATAAAAACAGTTAATGTAAAACTCTTCTCATTGTGGTCAACAATACATGAACATTTACAACACATTTAGATCTTTTTCACAACACTTTCCTCAATCTCAGAATATAAAATTCTTCCAAAAGTGCAGGTGAAATAACATCATAAGGCTATAAAAATTATGATAAAAACTCCCAGTTTTTCAAATAATTCATGATTATAAAGTCACTTAAAAGTTTTTTTAAATATTTGCTACTATTCTTTTATCATTTCAAATGTTACCTGTAAAAACTTCTGAGCATATGTTTTAAAAGACAAACTTTAATATCAACTTGAAAAATCAAGCTAGCCTACACAATTACTAATTAGAAAATATTGTACTTCTTTAAACCTCTGTTATCATATGCACAGATAATTAAGTATTAATAATAAATTAATTGATTTTCACAATTTACCTGGTGTGTTAAAAAGACGAACATTAAGACAGTCGTATTTTAAATGTTGACTACAACTATATGATCTGTTTACTAATTCAACTATCTGCTCCATTCCAGCATCATAGATGATGTCTCTAATATAACTGCCAGGTTTATCAAATCCCTTCACATCTGTTGGCTGCTCATTTTTGTGGTGAAGAACAGTGATGGTTTCATCATCAGCTGAAAAATAAATTACAAGTGATATGGTCAACCTACAAAAATGTTTACCCGATTCTTTGGTAACAGTGAAGTCCAATATCTTATAAAATTGAATAATATAAATTCCATAACAATAGCTCACCAGAGGTGTTGCTAGGTGATTAAAAGATTCAGGGCTCAGGCCCAGAATCTTTAGGAAATTTTTGGCATTTCAGTATGATATCGATCACGGTTTTCTATTCTGATTTTTCAAGAGTACCAAATGGATTCGGGGGAACTGTCAAATATAATCGGGGCATGAGCCCCATATGCCAGTGCACAGAGATGCTTCTGCAACTAACTATTAAGCAAATATTCAAAATATGATTTAGTACTGCTGTAAGCTCTTGTTATTTCATGTATTAAGTTGAAGTGAGTTTGATAAAAAGATAAAAATAGTTCAACAATTATAACTATAATTATAATTCATTTCTTATTTTAGGCTAAGCTTCAAAATTTCAGAGTAAATGGTCACAGTTTCCATGAAACAATACAAGAATGACTTAATCACTTAAACATACCAATCACAAGTAATTCAGAACATCCACTAAAACAAAATAAAATTAGCATTTAAGGTTTGAGTTATAGCTACTTATGCCGTACATAAGATGTTGGAGTGGGTTCAGAGGAGGGCTAATGAGTGATTCCCAGGATGGATGAGTTGTCATACAATGATAGGTTAAGACCTCTTAACCCTACCGAGACAGGTCTTCCTATGGTCGCGGGTCAAAGGCCATGTCATCACGTTTGTAGACTCACATTCACAATTTTATTGAACTACTATTTTATAAACGTGTGTCAATAATTTTGGTATCAAATTTTAGTATTATACATTAGTTAATTTCTTAATTTAAAGTAAATATTTAAAAAAAATAACAATATATCAATATTAGTGTGCCATGTGGTATGTTGAAAGCACCACTGGTTCAAATTAGATGTTTGTGATGTTAAAATACAAAGTCTATAGTTTCTTATGAATTAGATACTCAAATTACCAATATTCACAAGCTAGAATATAAGATAAGAACCTCCTATCTTTTATATTTACTGAGACATTAATATATTTATTGAATTAACCAAGGTGGCCCTGTACACTTCTTTAATTTTTGAAAATACTTGCTTTCATACACCTACTTTGCCCAATGACGTACGTATAATAAAGAATCAGAAGCTCAGAATGTCCCCCTAATGGTTTTCTCAGCCCCTGCAAAGTATTTGCATGGGAAATTCTTTCTTTTCATGTTAGATTCCAACTGGTAAGGTAAGACATTAGTGAGCTCAAAAAATCATATTTTTTAGGCCCAAATACAGCTTAATTATTAAGCTTGATAAATTATAGGAGAATACTATGGTAGCGATATTGTAATTTATGACTTTTTGTTATTTCAAATTGCATATATAAAACCTAAAAAAATTACATCCTCCACTTGCTAAATTTGATAAGGCTTAGCAACTTACAGCAAGCAGCAAATGAGTACAAAGTTTGTAACTGGAAAACATAATTGTTTTTTTATATTTCTTTGTTTATTGTTCTATGTTTTAAGGAAAATAACTGAAACTTGTTTGTAAATAGTAATATACATATATAATGTAATATAACCGAAATGTGATTGTATTTTACAAAATACTGGTCCACTAGAAAAATGCTAAGACAAGTCACTTTGTAAAGGCCAGTTTTATATTCTTGGATTTAAGCTATTTAGACTAAAAATTTGTGTTTTCGTGTTATAATTTGTAGTCATTCTAGAATAAAAAAAAAAAGCATAATTTATATCTATTTCCTAATTTTTCATGGTGGTTATGAGGTCGGTTAAATCGACCAAACCAGTATAGAGATACAATACTGAAAATAACATATAAAATATAAAGTTTTTTCTTAAAAAAAAACGTTTGATAATTATCTGGAGGTTAAAAAGATTTTTCATGCAAAATCAGAAAATTTTCTGATACATAAAAGTATTTTTAATCTTAAAATCAAAATTACTTTGCATGTTGGATAGTCAAGATTCAAAAAGAAAAAAATGCATGAGAAAAGCATTACTTAAAAAATCTTAAAATTAATAAACAAATCTAATATTTTGCATACAAAAGCCTTGTAATGTCCAGAAATGGGTTGATGATTATTTGAAAGATCAAAACTTGATTTAGTGATCAGTTTTCTCTTTGTTGAGAGAAATTGGGAATTCATAGAATAATCAAGAAGTCAAAAGACCCCCTTGATGTTCCATAATTTACTACAATGATAAATTATTTGTTTAGTGTACTTGTATTTAACTGAACATGAATATAGAATATAAATGTGTTTTTTCTTATCGCAGCAAAAGACTGAAATGTTCTCTTTTTCAAAAATGACAAATGTCTCAGCCTAGCCTCTGGAAATTTTCTATGTTGAAATGATAACCTACATTTGCTGTATGTGTTTTGAACAGGAAAATAAGAAAAAAACCTGAAACAAAAGAACTCAGGTACAAAAACCAATATTAAAAACAAAAGCTTACATATTACAAAACAAAAAGGTTTTTATTGTTAATAAAGTATCATAAATCATAACCTACATAGAAATTCACAAGTTACAGGAAAAGGATCTAAAGGTCCACTGCCATCCACATCAATTTTAATGTCAACATGTTTTGAACTAGGGTTGTCTATTTTGTAAGCTTCACAAGACAGCGGGTGACGTGCTGAAAACAGACAATTTAAAATACTGGTGATAATACAGTAAACTACATACTTATTTCTTCATTTTTATTATATTCTTGATCTACATTAAACCTGTTCAAAGAACAAATAATTACATGTATTTTACAAAATTCAAACTTTATCCAACTGACACTGATAACCTTTAAGTTGTGAGTGAAATATTGTGTGTTAAAAAAGCTACGTACAGCAAGAAAGAAATGTATGAGAGAGAAAAAAAATGGGGTGTTAGATACAAACACATTTTAAGAGGTGTAATATTATACTCATTTATTAAAAAAAAATCAAAATAAATAGAACATAGTTCTGTATTAAGTTTCACAAAAATGAAAATATACTTGAAACAAAAATCTTAGGAATTGTATTTCAGGCTAAAGAAATATCTCTTTTGTTTGTTAAGACAGTTAGCTCTAATTATGTTATTGAGGTAAAGCTTATCACTGGAGAACATCACTGCATTTAGTTCCTAAAACATAAATGCACTTTAACTAGTAACTACGACAAGAAATGGTTAGTATCAATAAGATTAATGTTATGTAACAATGAGACATTATTTAACAGAACACATAAAATCCTAACAAAATAATACATACTGAAAGCATTACTGTAATTAAATTTGTGGTCTTTCTTAATCAACAGAGGAAACATTAATTTGTCCAGATTTAACATGATATAAGAAATCACAATTGTATGTTTATATGTTGACTAAAAAGGATAAAAATAAAACATCTTTCCTGAAAAAAAAAAAAAGAAAACATTTTGAAGACATTTAACTTTCACTAATTTCACAACAGCATAACTTTAGATGCCTAACTTTAGTTATCTTTAACTGCCCCTTCCTCATTATTTATTTTGTTTCACAATTAAATAACCATACTGTATCACTGAACTCTGCACAAGAAATCAGTACAAAATAGGAACTCACGAATGTGACAAACAGCACCAGTATATCCAGTCTTACTACATTCACAAGTAAATTCATCCCAGTCTTGATTACAGATTCCTCCATGCTCACATGGATTAGGGTTGCACCTACAAGTGTAAAATAATCATTTAAAACTACTTATACATAAAACAAAAAGTTTTATGTGGGATTCTGACACATCTCCTTAAAAGAAATAATGAAAATGACATAAAAAACAAAAAAAGAAAACAACAATATTTCACTTAATTTTGTGGAAGAGGAGAAAAAAAAACTGCTTACAGTCACCATAACATTAAAAACAGTACATATTAATACAATTACTTAATGATTATTTACTTTTAATAACTATTCCTGTTTAAGTATGCCACTGTCACAAACTAGTCAAATTCCTGCTCACTAAAGACTATTAGAAAACATCCAGTACAAACTTGGTAAAATTTAATCACAGACTTCCACCAGCTTTTGGCATTAAAAGTTATGGAATTATGCTGCTTGTATAAATAGCTTTTCAGAGAATCTTTTGTCTCTCATTGTAAAGATCAACTGACCACTTCTGATACTGAATGAAAAGGCAGAAGCTTGTGAGAGACAAAATATAGTTGTGAAATAGTATTTTTACATGCCTCTGATTTTGAATCTGAAATGGAAAAATTAAGAGTAATATGGAAATAAAAGAAATCTGCTGTTTACATGATTTTTAGCAGACATTTTAGGTCTATTGGTTACTAATTGGAATGTATTCTTAACGCGAAAAATATTTAACATGACAAATAAAGTGCACAGAAACATTTTCAATTACTATACTGATCAAAATACATTCAGGACGCCAAAGTAAATGTAGTGATAGCATATA